TCCATCCATCCATCCATCCATCCATCCATCCATCCATCCATCCATCCATCCATCCTTTCTAACAACTGTGGCTGTTTCTGATAATTCTCATGAAATGTATTTTATTAAACTGCCAATTGTTTTACTGTTAACTTATTATGATTAAAAAGTAGTAATTAATTATTAGTTGAATATTTTCCCAATGAATCACAAAACATTTCAGTAACAGTGGTAAGACTGACATCTAAATGGTGTCATTTGCACTAAAACGTAGTGAACCCTTGAGTGAAGTCTGAATGAAAAAAAATTCTGTCAGATCTAGGACTATTAAAACCAAGTTTTACTTATATACCAAAAAGACTACTGAATCCTATATGAATGTTTCAAGGACTTTAAGATCATAACCAAACAGCAAATAAAATGTTGTAATGCACAATATTTAGTACAATCAAAGCATTTTGTAGGATTAGTACTTCTCACCTACCTTTCCATATTTCTGTGCATAAGATCCTGTCAGAAGCGAATGGAAGACAATGATAGTTTCATCCAAATCCCAAACAAATACACGCTGAAAACAAAAAAATTAACAAATCAATATATATAAATAGCACAAGAACTAGAGGCAGTTATCCAGAAAAAAAGGTGTAGCCCCAAACAGTTTTTGTGAAAAAAAAGTTTCTTATGACTCAGTTCACCCAGATCTTTTCTTCCCTTAAAAAAAAAGCCACAAATACCTACTTCAGGTCAAGAAAGACATTACTGAAAGAAAGAAATGCAGATGCTTTCAAGGAGCTGCAGAGAGATGCTACATGAAAATCCCTGATATACTCCCAAGCATCTTTTGAACTCCAAAGCATTGCCCAGCCCTGTAGCTGATTATTCATATTTGAATCACCAAGCCAAAAAATAGAGATTAAATATACATACTCTCATTTTCTCTTTTGTGCCCCACTTTCAAACAGCTTTGTTAGGTAGAAATATCAAATAACAATTTTAATTTTTACCACAAAAATTCATATTTATGATCAATTTTTGTGGTTATATTAAAAAGGGAAATCATACTTTTTAAAAAACGATCAAATACACTATTCTTTGGAATCATACATACACACATACATACACTCCCTAATGATATCCCATATAGATGTATTTTGTAATTTGTCTATATCTTTTAGCACCAGAAAGAAAAGTTCTGCATTTTTTTCCCTATCAAATGAAATACTGTTTTTTCCTATCAGTTTTCCACTTGATAAAAGATATTTAATTTTAATAATTGTTTCAAAGGGGAAGAGCATGTCAGAGAATTTACCAAGGGTGAACATTCAAGGTGCTCAAAATATTTCAAGCTTGAAACAGAAGTTCTAAGTTTGAGATAAGGGTCTGCAGATTCCCAGGCTTCTCACACTTCAATTACATTGCAACAGAAGGCATAATAAGGGGGAAATCAAGTGATACTTTTATGAAATTAATTTCTGATTTAAAAATTGTCTTAGTCTAATTATCAATAAACAGCATGTTCTATCAAAATTTATTATTTACATGTCTCTTTTTTTTAAAAAAAATATGAATTACTTCTTAACCTGCAAGTTGTAACTAGAACAATTTCATATTGGTATTCATTCAAAAGAACGTACCTCCAAATCACTATCAGGAGGAGGAGATGGGTTATTTTTCCTCCCTCTGCCCCTTGATTTTGACCCAGAACTCCTACATGTTCTTTCATCAAGGTCTTTGATTGGTGTTGAAGGGCTCTGCACAGTATCAAATTCTCCTGTAAATAAAATAGTATACATTTATCAAAATATAAAGTATTCCTTATTCAATTTTGTAGCTTGAATAATGTACTCCTAAAGTTTTGAACTGACAATTTGGATTATCTGTAAATCCCTATTCATCCAAGAGGAATGAAAATAATCTGCTTGCTGAGATTCCTCACCTTCTTTAACTACGAGTACTTGCCAAATTACAAAGTCAGGGTATGAGATGAATAAACAAATAGAAAGGCAAGAGTTAGAGGATATCCCAGGAATTTCTGTGTAATCTCACTGTGTAATCTCATATGTGCATACTGGGGAACAGACCATTCTTTTTAACTAGAAAGAAAGATAAATATACAAGCAATTTCCCATACTATGGGATGTACAAACACAGTTCTGTTCCAGGATGGATGTCCCTTTTAAAATTCAGTCTTTCAAATATTATGCAAAGGTCAAACGCTAAGTGGAACATGCCCAAATACTTGTTTACCAAAAGAACTTCCATCTCTGAAACTCTAGGAGCAGATGTTAAGGCCACCAGGAAATAGTTTTTAGCATTATGGATATTAATGGAACATAATGCTCTGTTGGGCACATTAAGAAATTATTCAGACTGAAAATGTCTAGCACCACTAGCATAGTAAGTTATTTCTTTCTATGAGTGACCTGAGATAATTTCTTACTTTTTAACTTTACAGCGTAAGACAGTAAGAACACAGGCAGTTCAGCACTAACACTTTTCTGAAGTGCAGATTGCAAATTAGGTTCCCTTATTGAAGCATCAAATGAACTTGTTCACATTCTGTCTGATGAGATCTTTCCCGGGTGGTGCTATCTTCTGTCAGTTTTATATTCTATTAACAGAAGATCTGGAAACTAGCAGGGTGAAGTATATTTGAATTTCTGAGCAGCAGCAGCAGCTAGGAATCAGTTATACAGAACATTTCTTGATGCAAGTCTTTGAGATAATATTAAATCAGAAATTCTTCTCAAGTGGGAATGGCTGTGGGGATTTGGACTGCCCAGATCTGGAGATATTCTATCTTTGACCTTGCACAGGGTAGCACTTCCACATTCAAGAGTGATGCACAATTTGGGAGCCTTCTGGACTCATGGCTCCTGCTTGATAAATAGGTGGCAGCTGTGGCCAGGAAGGTCTTTGTCCAGCTTCATCTGGTGTGTCTGCTGTGCCGTCTCCTGGATTGGGGGGCCCTTTAGACAGTCACTCACGCTCTGGCCACCTCATGGCTTGACTACAGCAATGTGCTGCATGGGACTACCCTTGAAGACCACCCAGAAGCTTCAACTGGTCCAGAATGCAGCAGCGTGAGCAGTGATTGCCTTGGCTTCACGAGCTGCACTGCTTGTGAGTTTGCTTCTGGGTGTGATTCAAAGTGCTGCTCGCAACCTATAAAGCCCTATATGGCATAGGACCTGGTTACTTCAGGGATGACCTGTCTTCCATAGTATCTGCCCAGCCAGTCTGATCTGGCAAGATGGGTGCACTCCAGCTTCCTTCAGTTAAACAATGCGATCTATTGGGACCCTGGAAACACACCATCTCTGTAGCAACATATGCCGTCTGGAATGAGTTTCCCCTGAGATTTGAATGGCCCCCATGCTACTGGGGTGTTTTGAAGGGCCCTGAATATATGGCTTGTCACCCAGGCCTTTGGCATGGATGACTGATGCACCATTTTCTTCTTTTTCTTTGTTCCCATCCTGTTTCTTTTTCTCTGCCAACTTTGTTTTGTTTTGTGTTGTTTCTTTGTTTTTAAATGTTTGAACAATTTGTAAACCACTCAGAGTTGCTGGGAGTCAGGTGGCATATACATTTAATAAATTATTATTATTATTAGGCCACCCATAGCAACTTGATAAATCACAGCAAACTCTGTTTCCTCTCATCACTTCCCATATGTCCTTGATCTTCTTCAGCATTTCAGATGAAATGGCAGAAAACATAAAGAAGAAACTTACCCAACTATCCCTTATCTTTTGGTATCTTGCTGGGGGAAGTTGGACTTTTCTACTTATTGATTGCATATGGAAACAAAGAAATCTAATTGTAACATGTTGGGATATGTTAGAACATCAAATAGCTGAACAATTTTGTGACTTGACAGAGTACCAAATAATTGCTCTGGATACTTGCACATCCAATTAATAATAGTATTTGATATGCCTATCTAGTGTTTCATTAGAAATAATCCAAGATTTTTATCCTCCCATGTTAATCTGCTGGTTTTATATTGCCTGTAAACAAGAATGCTGTAATGCCTTAATTCATAAAAATAATGGCAATATGGCTGTCATCATCATTTATAGATATTTGAGACATTTATATTTTGATTAATTCCTTTGGCTATCAATTTCTGTCATAGTGAATATCACACACAAAGAAATACATCATATTGAGGACTCAAGACCTTCCTGCAGACTATCAAATAAATACATACATACATACATACATACATACATACATACATACATACATACATTTTAATGTGATCTTCAACAACCTGTGATCAGATATCATTAGATCCTATTGTAATAGGCAAGATGCTTTTGGAGGCATGGAATCTGGACTACAATACATCTACAGAACTACTTTTGGAGGAAAATTCCAGAAACCTGACTTCTCTCAGATTTCAGAAATGTCCTCAGCCAATCTGTAACTCTTTCACATGAGTCTGCCTCTGAGCATGATCTTTTTCATACAATGCATGATTTTCCAGATTCTGCAGCATCTTCCTAGTACTGAAAACTATCTGAATCTAACAGAAAACATCTTGGTCACTTTGTTATATGTAGTTCATTCTGTGATTGACAGCAGTAGTAGCAAAGTATTATTGAAAACTATATTGGCAAAAGAAACCCAAAATGCTACTGCTTGTGATCATATGTAATCCAGTAAAATGAACAGCCACTCTTTGATTAGAACTATGGAGTGAAGTATTCCCATTTCATTTTTAAAATGACTTGTGTAAATACTTTATTAAGTGGCCCATGCAACCCAAATTTAATTTGAATGGCGGAATAAATTCCTAGGAATTTACTAGGAAGTTGTCATTTCCTAGCAATATTGAATTTTCATAAGATGCTGTCTCCACCATCATAAGATGAACCACATAAAATAAAAGGCCAAGTTTGTGTCATATTAAGTAAAACATATGGATTTTCTTCCTTAAGTGAAATAAAAGGGTAAGCAAACAGGAGTTTGCTAAAAGAATTTGGCGGGAAGGTCTCTTTTAAAATGTCCATGTAATTGGACTGTATGTACTTAGCTAACTTGTACACTTGAGAAGGAAATAAAGGCATTTCTACTGGTGATGTTAAAGTATTTTTATTATTAAGCTTTATTTATAGGTGATTATAAAGTAGTGTGCCAGTTTGGTATAGAAGGCACCAGGCTAGAAACCGGGAGACCATGAGTTCTAGTCCCACTTTAGGCATAAAGCCAGTTGGGTGACCGTGGGCCAGTCACTCTCTCTCAGCCCTAGGAAGTAGGCAATGGCAAAATACTTCTGGAAAAACTTGCCAAGAAAACTACAGGGACTTCTCCAGGCAATTGCCAGGAGTCAACACTTACTCAAAGGCACACAGACACACATAAAGTAGTGCAGAGTTGTCACAGTGACTGAGGAAAAAAGGACTGGAAGAGCAAGTGGTTACTTTTCAGCTCATAAGAGATGATCAACATTTCTCGTTTTGACAGAGAAAGCACAGGTAGAAGAAAACTCACAAGAGGAGCAAGCTCAATAGAAACAGCAGTTGGTAGACTTAATAAGCTGCTTTTGAATTTCAGAGCAAAGAGAATTAAGGGGAGGAATAAGAGACTCCTTGGAATAAGGAAAGGAAACCAATGTGTGTCAGACAGGCACCCTGGCTCACCACAGATCCGAGATATGACATAACAATTACAGAAAGTATGTCAATGTAAAATATCTTGTTTCCAAAGCCATAGTTTACAGTTGGTGGATGTGGAAGCCTTCCCAGTGACTGGGGGGAAGAGGTTTGGCTGAAATAGGTGTTGCTTGATCAGGATAATTGTAAACAAATCCTGTTAAGAACTGAGACAAAAAGTCAGATATAAGGATTTCCATTAAATATTTAAGAACCACAAATGAACAGAAGCAAAAAAGAAGTATTGCACAGTATGCTGAAAATATTCACACTTGTTCAGAAACCCAAGAAAATAAACTTGGTGGTACTATTGAGAATGTCTGGATTAAAAAAAAATCAGTAAGGAAGAAATAAATTCAGTGCTGTTATTTGTATCTACTATCAAGCACACTACTAAGGAGAGAGTATTGATAATGCAGAACCTTCAGATAGGTATAAAATAGGTATAATGTGGATCTTTAATTATCCTGACTGTTGCTGGAAGACAAATTCTACTGAACGTGGTTCATTCAGGAAATTTCTGCCTTGCCTTGCAGATATCTTTTTGTTTCGGAGAGTGGAGAGAGACAAATGTTGACCAGCAACTTTTTAATTTATTCCACCCAACAAAGATGAAGGGAAAGTAGCGGGGTCATGGGAGAATGTGACCATATAATAATATGGTCATTCTTGGTTTTAAGGAAAAGTAAACCAGAGTTAAATGCATGTTTTGGACTTCAGGAAAGTAAGGTTTTAATAAACTTACAGCAATGATAAGAGAGAATCTATGGTAGGAAAAGCTAATTGGAAAAGCAGCTGAAAATTGGTGGCACTTCCTAAAATAGAGACATAATGCTACAAGTGTGAAAAATGTGATGAGGAAAAATGGAAGAGATCTGAAATAGACAGTGTCTCTGCCCAAAAGACTTAGTGACAAACTGAAAATTGAAGGGGACATAATAAGAAACAAAAAGAGGGATAAGTCATCAGTATACATAAAGATATTTTGGAATTGTAAAATTATTGTAAAAAAATTCTGTAAGTTTAGAATGACTTATTAGTCAGAAGGTCAACTAGAGGAGCCAAAGAGCAATTAAAGGAAAATATATCTTTTAACACAATGGAGGCGTATCCTTTCAAAGAAGACTTGTTAGCTGTTTGGAATCAATGTGTCCAGGAACTATTTCTAAAATTGGGACTAACAGAGTTTATAGAAGAAGAAAAGATTTCATTAGATAAAGCAGAAGTTAAGAAAGACTTGAAGACTTTAAAATGGAGTTTAAAGAAATGCCAGATTATGAGAAAGACACGGGAGATATGGAAAAGGATATGTGGATGTGAAGATGGACTCAAAGTTGCTTAATTATGAGAATGATATGAAGAAAGGAGCTGTAATGGATCAGAAGAATGACTTTGAGAGTTTGAACTCACAGAAGGGAAACAGCAAATCTCTGAAACCTTTTCTGAAAATAGACAGGGAGAGAATGATAAGAGATTACTATCTGGGGTTTTATTTGGAGAAGAAACTGAAGATTGAGCCTTTCAAAAAGAAAGGGAATTCAAAGAGGATTTATCAGATCAGGGTTAAATTGTCTAAGTTTTGATCTTGGATTGTTAATACTGAATTTTCTTTTTCTGACCAGGACTGTAAGACAATGATTTATATCTGTAAATGTGATTGATTTGATTTAGTTTAAAATACAATTATTATTGTTGTTGTTAGTTTTTGTAGGCTTATGGGGAGAGATCTTTTAGGTTTGATTTTTAGAAAAAATTTAGAAAAAAGTTAAAATGCAAAATAGACGTATTTATTTAAACTATCATTGGCACTCATAATGCTTTTGCTGATTAGATTGATTGTTGAATATTATTTATAATTTGGTTATTGTTTACAGATGAGAAAGGGAAGAAGAGGGCTTTTTTCAGTAATATTAGAGAAGGTGTTAAGTTACTGTTAATGCATATACTTGTTTGGAGGGGGAAAGTTTTCTTTCTTTCTTTCTTTCTTTCTTTCTTTCTTTCTTTCTTTCTTTCTTTCTTTCTTTCTTTCTTTC